CTATCTATCTATCTATCTATCTATCTATCTATCTATCTATCTATCTATCTATCTATCTATCTATCTATCTATCTATCTATCTATCTATCCTATTGATATATTATTTCTGATTGCCAACAAGTTGATTTCTCGTCCAAGGTCTACATCCTGTTCACACACAGCAGCTTTGAAGGGGATTCTGAAGCTTTAAAATTCTCTCCTAACTGGAGATGAAATGGGAAACAAGAGTCTTCCAATTTTCTCATCTACTGCATATACCGCAGCATTTAGGAAAGGAACACCATTAATAATGAGCCTCCATTTGAGTTAGTCTTCCTCAAGTGAGCTGGATTATAAATCCCCATGCATGGACACAACAGGGCATAGAACTATTTGCGGCAATGAAAACTGAATGCTGCCAGGAAGACATTTGTGTTCTATGGGACAGGCTGTCTGTATAAACTTGGCACTGAGAAAATATATCAAACCCCTCCTTGTTCCACTTGATAAGCCAAATGTGCACACATACACTGTTCTACCAAAAAGCAAATAAAGCACATTTGATTACTGTAACACACAGGAAAGAAAATGAAAATCACCAACCTTATTTTCTGGCAGAGATTTGTTTTAGGGTTTAAGCAGAATTTGCATTCGCCACATTGAGGAATATATAGAGGGATAACCGTGTCTCCTGAAAAACAGATAATAATTTCAGCTGATCAAAAGTACAGTGTATTACACGGGAACCCCTCTATTCGCACATTTCTCTATTTTGAGGGGCTAAGGATTGTAGGGGATATGTCAAGGGACACAATAAAAGAGAGGTGGGGTAGATTAGGTTATCCCTGTTCCTCACATTTTTTTGTGAGGTTGTGTGAGGTTGCCTTCACCTATGTGAATTTTTATTTTTATAAATAAAACTTCAAGCACAAGGTGGACAATTTGTGGTCTCCCGGAGTCCGCCAGATAAAAATGCATACTTCTCCTATTTCTTTGGTTTGCAGAATATGCAAAATCAATGCACTGAGCTTAACACATTTTATTTTTTAAGGCAAAAAACAGAACCTCTCAAATAGGGAATGGAGAGAACTGAATGTTCTAACCTGAGACAGAGATGCACAAGCAGCAGAAACAATATCATAATCATGCCATCTAATATGCTTGACTGGAGAAAACCAAGACTCTTCGGACATTATTATGCCATTATTCCTCTTGGTGGAACATCAAGAGACCCAACTTCTTACCTGGTTTAAATTTAGTCACTCCTTCTCCAACACTCTCCACAATCCCTGCTCCTTCATGACCCAGGATAACAGGAAAGCTTCCCTCAGGATCAGCGCCACTCAGAGTAAAAGCATCAGTGTGACACACCGCAGTAGCAATAATCTAGGAAGTTATAATGAATAATTGTATAGAGCAGATGTGTCAAACTCGATTTCATTGGGGGCTGCATCAAAGTTGTGTTTGACCTCGGGGGAGGGGGGCATGTCCAGCTTGATGTCACTTATGTCAGGGGCATCTGTGGTGGCCCGTGCTCTGCCTGTGAAAATGGGCTCCCAATCTCTACTTTCAGCTGGGACGGCCTCCTGCAATCCTCTGCCAGTGAAGGTTGGCCCTCCCGTGCGGCCCTCCCAAGCTTTGTTTTCACTGACAGAGGATTGCAGGAGGCCGTTCCAGCTGAAAATAGGGATTGGGGCCCTGTTTTTCACTGGCAGAGGCACTGCAGGCCAAGCCTTTGCTGTTTCCAGGGTGGCTCCACGGGCCAGATCTAAGCACCCTCCAGGCTGTATCTGGCCTGCGGGCCTTGAGTTTGACACCCCTGGTATAGACAGAACACTTCCAGGATTCAGCTTATGTTTTTAGACATTAAAGCAATCCCCAAGGCAAACTGCTTTTCTGCAGGCAACCTTAAGGTTCACTATCACTGGTCTAATGTATAGTCTTAATACTTGCAATTATTATTACTAATTTTATTACTGGAGTCTATCATTTATCATGGAAAGCAAGAATTGCAAAGTATAAAGGAAGTCACCCAAAATATTGGTCTCGTATTGGCAATTAAGAATAGCTGCAATGAACACTACGCCAACACGTGCAGACCTATTAAAACTCAACCCTTGATTCGTTACCTTGATACGAACTTCATGGGCTTTTGGAGGAGCGACTTCCACCTCCTCAATGGAGAGTGGTTTGCCTGCCTCCCAGGCAACAGCTGCCTTACATTTGATAACCTAAAGAAGAGAAGAAAGTTTCCATGTAATGAATTCAGTGGAGATGATCACATTTGAATCTTGAAATCAATCCCAGCACTTCCATTCAAGACTCAAGTTTGCTCATTACTGGAACTTTGGAGATCCTCTTAGAATTGGAAATGGATATTCACTTCTAACAAAATCAGCTAACACTCTAGATCAGGGGCCTCCAGCTTGGCAACTTTAAGACTTGTGGACTTCAACTCCCAGAATTCCTCAGCCAGCAAAACTTGTGGACTTCAACTCCCAGAATTCCTCAACCAGCAAAGCTTTGCTGGCTGAGGAATTCTGGGAGTTGAAGTCCACAGGTCTTAAAGTTGCCAAGGTTGGAGACTCCTACTCTAGATGTTTAGATGGAGGGGTGGTGGTCTAGAATTCTTAATTTGCCAATGTCATTTGGAATGGGAAAAGTGGAAAAAATTCCACAGAACTATCGCTTGTCCTTTTAAATCTGGATTTAAGCTTTGTCTTGAACGTTTTGTTCAATTCTTACTGCAATGCACAAAGTTGCAAAATCTATCATAAGACGGAAACAAATTCATTTTTTTTACAGAGCAAGGTTCAAAAATGTGATGCCAAGTAAAATATTTGCAGTCTTCCCAGCGTTCTTATCTTTACCAACTATGCATTCATGATGATCAAAGTATTTAGGCATAAATCCATTTTAAAATACAGTGAGATATGTTTGTTAAGAATTTAGACTCGGTAGTTATGTAGAATTTCTGATTTGAGAACAAAGCACTAGTTTCCTAATTTATACCGGCTAACAGATCAATTTCAAGCAATTTTTCTGTAACTTAGAGTAAACATTTAAAGTATTTTCTAAGATGCATTGTTAGCAATTAGAAATTGAAAAAGGCTAGAGAAATAAAAGTGATGCATTAAGCAATAATCAGTTTTTTAAGCTGCTACAGAATAATTTTTATTTTTGTATTTTTATAAAGTCTGTACTGTTTTGGGTAACTAGTTAAAACACCATATTACTCAGAGGAAATAAAAGATGCTGAAGCCATGTTAAGTTGGTAGTTGGAACCCTGAAGCTCTGAAGATTTGCCTTAGCAATGGCAAAGCAACACTTGAAAGTGAATTCTGTAATGAAATACAGGGCATTATATTCTGTAAGCAATTTTCATTATTCTGCAACTGCTATATTGGTTGGTTTCAATTCTATAGGATCTTGAACATGTAAATTGTTTGGATATGCAATAATCTCAGTAAGGATGACCAACTTTACCCATATCATTGCACAAACAAATCAGCAGGCAAATTCTGGAAATTATAGTCCTAACAGAGTGGGAAAGTAGCAAGTTGAAGAATGTTACAGGACCACATAAACACATTAGTTTTTCGAAGGAGTTAACTTATTGAAAAACTGTATAGGCACCAAGCTAGAAAGCGGGAAAACTTAAGTCCTTGTCCTGCCTTAGCCATGAAAGCCGGCTGGATAATTTTGGGCCAATCACTCTCACTCAGTCCAATTCACTTCACAGGGATGTTGTTTTGGGGGAATAATAGGAGGAGGAAGGTATGATTGGAAAATGTCACTGCCTTGAGTTACATGTAAAAATAATAAAAGTGTGATATAAATACATAAAATAAATAAATGTTACAATAATTTAAAATTCCTCACTGTGTGGGTATATTCTAGAAATCGGGAACACAAGACTTATTTGAAAGTAATATTATTTTTTCATTTACATGGACTCCTCTCTGGCTGAAAAGATTAAGAGGCAAACTGAGAAAATGTGCCAAATTTAAAAAAAAAATCAAATACAAGCATGTGTGAATGCAAATTTTATGTTACAAAACCCAGAAACTTAAACATGGCTTGTTGAATAGCTACTATCAAGTACTTTTATACTATGTTTAGAATGCATTACACATTATATGTTTAGAATATAATACCCCAAACCAGAATGTATTCAAGTCTAAAGCATGCTATGCAAATCACTTCTAAAGTGATTTGTAAAACAACCCAGAATGTATTGCCTTACAAATCACACTACCTAGCATCCCAATCCAGAAATAAGCAAAACCTCCTCATATTTTGATTTAGCATTGGTGTGAAGCCAGAAGATAGAGGGAGTAGTGTGAGGAAACCAAATTTGAACTCCTGAAGCATTTCGAAAGTTTGTTCTGCTAATCAAAGCAGAAATCAGGACAAATCAACCAGAGAAATCACTGATTTCTCAAGCCAATCAAGCCAAGTTTGGGGGGGGGGGGGAAATAGCACACAAATACCACAATCAAGTACAACTTTTTGTCTGAGCGGAGAAACACAAGGCTGTATTCTTGGGATTCATGGATTCGGCTGCTAAAATGCCTGAATATTTCCACGGACACGAGTGTCTTCTGAAACCCCCAAATCTCATCGCTGGAGGCTTTCAAGAAGAGACTGGAGGACCACTTGTCAGAAGTGGTGTAGGGTCTCCTGCTTGAGCAGAGGGCTGGACTAGATGACCTCCCAGGCCCCTTCCAACTGTGTTTACCTGGCGGGCAAGCAATACAGAAAACACCTCTCCCACCTGTTGTAGTCCGAAATACCACAAGTTGTACTCAGGGGGTCTCGCCAGCCCAATACGGGCTTTTTTAAAAAAAACCAAGGCGAACCCTTTGCCCACTGGAAGGAAGCCCTACTAAACTCCGTGAGGCTTTTTGGCAAAGGTCTGGAGGGGTTGGGAGGCAAGCCGCAAGCTCCCGTCGCTGGTACCCAGGGCCACCCTTGCCTCTCGTCCTCCTTTTCCCACGGCCTTTGGTGAGGACAAAGCTCGCCTGGAGGCAGCTTGAGCCGTAGGTGGCCGCTTTGCTCTCGGGAGGGAAAGTTCCGAGGCTCCGAAGCGCCAATGCAAAAGCGTCTCCTTACCCCGCTCGCCATGGGACACGTGAACCGGGCAGCCCAAATCACCAACTTCAGAGGGATCCCTTCTAAGAAGGCCGAGGCATGCGCACTCGTCCAGGGATCTGCCTACCACAGGAGGAGGGGGGAAGAGAGGCGATGACGTGTGAATACACGCCTCCCCCCGGTTTAGAAGGGCTGACCTGCTCTAAATGCGCCTTCCCAAGCCAGTGCGGTACTGTCAGGTGCTGTTTGCTCGAAGAAGAAAGCAAGGGAAGGGAGAAGGTTGAAGGAGAAGAAGGGAGGAGGGAGGGAGAGTAAAGGGAGAAGGTTGAAGGGAGGAGGAGACAAAGGGAGGAGGAGGAGGAGAAGAAGAAGAAGGTTGAAGGGAGAAGGAGACAAAGGGAGGAAGAGGAGGAGGAGGAGAAGAAGAAGGTTGAAGGGAGAAGGAGACAAAGGGGGGAAGGGAGCAGGAGGAGGAGAAGGAAGAGAAGAAGAAGGAGGAGGAGGAGGTTAAAGGAAGAAGGAGAAGAAGGGAGGAGGGAGGGAGGGGGAAGGAAGGGAGAAAAGAAGAAAGGAGTGGGAAGGGAGGAGGAGGAGGGAGGGAGAGGGAGAAGGGAGAAGAGAGGAGGGGGGAAGGGAAAAGAAGAAAGAAGAAGAATGGAATTCTCTATTGGCCAAGTGTGATTACACACAGAAGGATTTTGTCTCCGGTGCGTAAGCACTCAGGGTACATACAACAATAGTGATAGATCATGATCATAGCCACTGTAAAAATACATTCATCATAAAACATTAGATACCACACTTAGTAATAGTCATGGATACTACATATGCAATCATCATAAATCATACTAGGATACTAATTAAACAATTTAAGTCGTAAGATGCAAATAACAAAGTTATAGTTATAAGAAGATAAGGTGATAGGTAATAGGGAAGATGAGAATAATGATGGCAACACTGCCTTTCTAGATAGTTTGACGGTGTTGTGGGAATCAGTTGTTTAGCAGAGGGATGGCATGGGGGGTGGGGAACTGTCCTTGTGTCTAGTTGTTCTGACACGCAGTGCCCCATAGCATCATTTTGAGGGTAGAAGTCAGAAGTCTCTCCTGGTTGCAAAAACCCAGCCCCCCATTAAAAGATACAGAAGAACAGAATTCTTGTCCAAATAAGGCAGCCTCTTCATTCTAGTTCAACCACAAACATGGTAGTAATCACCTTTTTCCTTGGGATTTTTCTCACCCATCTCTGCCGAGCGAGATGCTTTATTCTTGTCTGTCATACCTCCGCATCACAGGCCTAAAGTCCAGGTAGCCCTCTACTTGCAACAGTTCATTTAGGGGCCGTTCAAAGTTACCACGGCACTGAAAAGAGTGGCTTATATCCTCATGGTCGCATGATCAAAATTCAGACATTTGGCAACTAGCTCATATTTATGACGGTTGCAGTGTCCTAAGGTCACGTGATGACATTTTTCGACCTTCTGACAAAGTCAGTGGGCAAGCCAGATTCACTTAACAATTGGGTTACTAACTTATTAACTGATTCGCTTAATACATGGTGGGATTCAATTTTTTTTATTACCAGTTCTGTGGGTGTGGCTTAGTAGGCGTGGCAGGGGAAGATTACTGCAAAATCCCCATTTCTTCCCAATCAGGTGGGACTCGGAAGGCAGAAAATAGATGGGGGTGGATCCAGTCAGAGGTGATATTTACCGGTTCTCCAAACTATTCAAAATTTCCGCTACCGGTTCCCCAGAACTAGTCAGAATCTGCTGAATACCACCTCTGGCTTAACAACTCTGGCAAGAAAGGTCGTAAAACAGGGCAAAACTCACTTAACAAATGTCTCACAACTACAGGAATGTTGGGCTACAGTAAAGTTTATATATTGCGCCACCAGAATTAAAGGAGACCACGTTAAAGGAGACTAGTATCATGGGCAAACTATTCTTTGTATAATTTTTGTTTTTAATTAAATAATGTGTATCTAACCCCAATAAGTATAGTTGGAAAAGCTATAAAAATATAAAATGTAGAACTGAACAAGCACACAAACTTAAGAATGTGAATATAAAAAATCTTGGCCAACAAAAACTTTAAAGGTGAATGAATCTTTCGTCTGTGTTTTTACAAGATAAATGTGTGCATTTGTTTCTCTAACATTTATTATTTCCAAATAAGCCCTTAAAGATCAAAGTACTTAATTCTATTTATTTATGTGGAATGCAAAAAATATATACTGGATCGGTATTTAAAATTTAAAAAACCAATTTGATGTAGTGGTTAAGGCATCAGGTTAAAAACCTGGAGATCTTGAGTTTTAGTCCTACCTTGGGCACAAAGCCAGCTGGATGATCTTGGGTGAATCTCAGCCCTAGGAATGAGGAAATTGCAAATGCCATGAAAGCTGCAGTGACTTCTATGAACATTAGGTGTCAGTAGAGTAATTTAGATAAGCTGCAATTCCCATCATGCTGTAGTTTTCACAGGTTCTGCAGAGGTATATATGGAATAAGGACTGTGGCTTTCTTGCAGGTTGATTGGATGGAAAGGATAACAACTGTAACCCTTTTACGGTATTCTTTCCTAATGCTTCTTTCATTTTTTGTTCTCAGGGATATGTTAAACAGAAAGGGCACAGCACAAAGAAAGGGACTAAGAAACTATCACGCATAAAGGCGAATATACATGTCCCAGGATAAATATAAGGCAAATATACAGGTCTCTCACCTCCTTCTGTTTAACATAATCCCTGAGAATCCGGTAAAGGAGGTGGGAGAAACCTCTAATGTGAATTTACCAGATCCCCTACAAGGTTTGCCCTTGTGACTATATAGGGCAGATGAGGAGGAGGCTAACCATCAGACTACAAGAACATAGACAAGGTGATCAGAATTCATTGGTAGCCTCACATTGCAATGAAGAACACACATTCAATTTCGCAGCTACTAAGATTGTTGGCGGAGCAAGGACAAAAATACCCAGGGAAATGATTGAAGCCTAGGAAATAGGCCCCTTGTCCATCAAACAGGACTGCTGATTTAGCCCCACCTTACCCGATAGTTATGAACTGAGGACATAGCAGCACAAGGAAACAACAACCAACAACTTGCTGGCCCTCAATACATCAATTAACACTAAGCCACACATAACCAGGCCAGGGGTGGGTTCCTGCTGGCATTACTGCTGATTCAGCACAGTGACTTCTATGAACATTAGGTGTCAGTAGAGCAATTTAGATAAGCTGTTAATTCCCATTCCCAGCTTCGCACGTGCACATTTGCACCTAAAAAGGTGTGCGCATGCGCACAATGTTAGAAAAGGAAATCAAATTTTTGTAATGAAGATTGTTCTATGCATGCACAGAACTGAAAATCAAGATGGTGGCGCCAATGTTCGGCAGTGTGGTTTGGCAGCGTGGCAGGCTGAGTTACTACCTATTTGGCCGAAACGGTAGGAACCCACCTCTGAACCAGGCACTACATAAATACAATGCCCATAGAAGAGCCCAGTGCACACATAAAGAGAGAGGTTCTCTGAAGATGGACTCCAAAAGTTTGAGTCCAAAAGCTTGGAAGATTAAATCTTTGATACCAATGACTGATTCAGATTGGATCCTGAAACAATTCCCCCCCCCCCCCCCCATGAATACCAATCGGAACTAGCCACAAAGGAAGATAGCCACTAAAATAGTATCCTCAATTCCCAAACTTGATTATTGGTACAAAAAGGATACTGTGATTGATAACATCAAAAGCCACGGAGAGATCAAGGAGCAATATTCCCACCCCAGTTCTCCTTCAAGTCATCAACAAGCACCACCAAGGCTGCCTCCATGTTGAATCCTAGCTGAAACCTGACTTAAACCTGTCTAGATTAAAGTTTCTCAATCTTAGCTAGTTTAAGATGGGCGGACGTCAACAAGACCAGCATTTCTCAACCTTGGGCATTTAAGAAGGGTGGACTTCAACTCCCTGGAATTCCCTAGCCAGCTCTGCAGGCTGTGGAATTCTGGGAGTTGAAGTCCATCCATCTTAAATGTCCAAGGTTGAGAAATGTTGATCTAATTAATAGGTTCCCTCCAGCATTCAGGCAGTCCTACCAGCTTTTCACGTATTGGTTTAAATGAAGTTCCCAAGGCCTTGGTTACAGGTTTGCATTATCTGTGAAAGAGTCATTTACTAGTATTTTTTTTTTGGGGGGGGGGGGATAAAGGTAAAGTGATGCCCATTAAGGCATTTGCACATGCACCATTTTTCTGGTCTATTCCCAGGAAGCATTTGCAGAAGGCAAGATGGGAAATGGAGTATAGGCAGTCCTCAACTTAAAAACATTTGTTAAGCAATCGTTCAAACTTACAATGGCACTGGAAAAAGTGACTTATGACTGGTCCTTGAACTTACAACCATCACAACATCTCCATATGATCAAAATTAGGATGCCTGGCAACTGGCATGTATTTAGAATTATTGCAGCATTCCCGAGGTCATGTGATAACCATTTGAGACCTTCTAAGCTGCCTTCCAACAAGCAAAGTCAATGGGGCAAGCTGGTTTCGCTTAATATCCAGGCGATTGACTTAACAACTGCAGTGAAAACTGTGGCAGTAGGTTGTAAAATTGGGTGCGACTCACTTAACAACACCTTGCTTAGCAACAGAAATTCTGGTCAAGAACTGCCTATATCCATAAGCCTTGAAAAGCAATTTTCAGATCAGAACTTTGAGCAGCAGCCAATATGAAAAAGATTTGGTTGTGAAAGTCTGGCCTAACACCAGGAGTACTGCTGGAAAGAAACAATGGGAAAAATAGGAGAGGAAAGTGGAAAATGATGATTTCTTCCTCCCCACCCTAAAATTCTACATATTATTTCAAAATAAACCATTCACCTGGAAGCTTCCAATAGCCTGTATCCACCCAAGCAAAAAGGCTAGGTTTTTTTGTCTAAAGAGTTTAGCTTGTTTTAAATGTAAGGATTGTATTAGATTTACTTCCATGTTTTCCCCCAAAAAAGACCGGGTCTTATTTTCTTTTGACCCCTGAAATAAGGACTTGGCCTTATTTTCGGGGAGGTCTTATTATTTTTGAGGTGCAGGAGGTGGTGAGTGTTGTCACCTCATGGC